TACAATTGTGTTTTAAAATAAAAACTTATTATAAGTATGTATATGTATAGATTTTATTAATACTAAACAAAAACAGGACGAGAGTGTGTATAGCAACTAATTTGATATTAATCGAAACCTGTTATAATTATCTAGTTCTTATATTAAAGCCACGTCATAAATATATAATTTATATATATTACATTCGTATATATTTTGTCATGAAAATGTTTAATGCGGTAATCATTTGCTATTATTAGTATTAGTACGGTCAAGACATTTAAAATAACAAAAAATCCGGAAAGCGATGTATTAGCGGAGAACTAGAGTTTATCACAATAAATAATGTTTTAAAACTCCGTATTGATCCTATGTAAGCTTCAAAAGTTATTCAAGATCAAACGACAAAATTTCTAGTTTTGGATTTTTAGTTATTTTTGGACTTGGATTTTATTCGAAAACGTTATTTTCTTATATACAGAGAATCTTAAACTACACTTAAAATTCTCTACAAAATTTGTACTTATATTTTTTTTTCTAAGAGTTACCATTCGTGAGATATCGCTATTCTAAGAGTCATTTTATACATGATATGTACATATAAGCCACGTACGAGTATATACACATAAGGTAAGGTAATTACGATAAGTAAAAATAACTAACCGTGTTTCTCTCATATATACCATACTGGCCTGAAAATCTTAAAAACATTTATTGAAAAGACGGTCAGTCGCTAACTTAATCCCTCCTACCAACGTGGCATTGAAAAAAATTGTGATGCATTGAAAAATTCAAAAAACCTTAAATTTTTACCCACATATTTCTCTTTCGCGGGAATTATTTTAATTTAACCATGATTATCTAGAGATAATCAATTTAGAAATTGACTGGACTATATGGGATAAATTGGAGAATTTCCTGATCTGTAAGGTCGTATATATTTTGAAAGGTAAAGTGTAAATGGATTTTTATGAAGCAAAATTTAATAATAACAAAAATAATATAAATATCAATGAAAAATTAATTATACAGCTTTCATGTAGTACGAGAAATTATAGCTACATTGATTCTTAAATACATATATAGTGGAAATAAGAGAAGAATATATAAAGGATGATTTGTTATTGGGAAACTCAGAATTAGTAACAATCAATGTGCTCTTGATTTTATCGAAACGATATACGTAAGATTCTTTATGTACTATATTCTAACATAGTTACTCACTCAAATATTTCTTAAATCACTAAATACCTCGTATCTCGTAATTCACTCAAATATTTCATAAGTCACTCAAATATTTCTAGTAAGGAGTAATAGTTGTTGCATCTGTGCTATCGCAATGAACATAATCATGCAGTAATCGAGTTTTTATCAGCTCGTCAATATATTTTATGATTTAATATCTATACAGAAACACTGTCTAGTCTTTTACGTAATTATTCTCCGTGAATAATTTAACTATTATTAATCATATTATAATTGTCCTATGCTGTTATCCTTATTAATAACCGTGAACCAAGAAAACCTAATTGTTTTTGTTCCATAGGTATTTTATCTCTGATATATATGTAAGTATAAAAAAATATTATAAAATGTTTGTACAAAAACTGGATTCTTGTTTTGGGAAACTGGTTTACAGCTAATTGTAAATATTTTTATAGTTTCTTTGCTCATATATTTTTCATAACGATGGCGTCTTTTATTTTGTGCCTCCGACTTCCTAAACAAAACCTTTAGAAATTTTTATAAAAACATTTTGGTAGTGAAAGAAATTAGACTAAAATGATGTTTTAATTTTTTCTGTATTGTAAAATATATTCTAGGCTTCAGCTTTTGAGTTGTGTCATAGTTTTTTGATGCAAGGATCTAACCCTTATCTCAACCATGTCTAAACATATGGTTGAGATAAGAAATCTTTTAGTAATTATCAACTCGCCTCCTAATTTAGTATTGTATTCAAATCATACTTTTACACTGAATACAACATTTAATATAATATTCTTTTATATATAATATAACCAGCAAATTAAAACTGACGACCTTGATGGTCCATCATTCATATTGAAGAAACTGGATATTATAATTAAGAGGCAGTTTCAATATTATATAAAATTACCTGATAATTCCGGTCTATTTTATAAACAAATGCTAATATACATATGTACATTGTACATACATATGTACGTAGTCCCTTTACAGCTACAACCATACCTTGGAGAATTCTTAAATGCATTTTGCTGTGTTCATAGTATCACTACTTTATTTTTATACGAAAAAATGCCTCATGTTTTGTGATGCACACTCGAAAATTGGTTAAAGTTTAACATAAGTATAGGTTGTGCTAGAAGTTCGTTTTAAAGAATTTATAGAATAATTCAAGATAAGAGTTACTAAATCTTATTTTAAGTGATTTATGAAAAATATTGATTATAAAATAATCTGATAATCTTTCATGAATCATGTGATTTATAAGATCAATTAAAATATTTTATACTAATCATATTATGTTATCATTTGAAGTGACAATAGAAATATATCCAATTTACGACGCAATAAATATAACGTTACGATTTTTTGAATTAAAGAAAAATATTTTGATCACGTTTTTTTTCCATGTTTCAAAGTCTTTGTCAAAATTTAAGATAAGTTTTCAAATATAGAGTTTTATCAAATTAAAAAGATAAGAAAATAAAAATTATAGATTGAAGAATATACTTTTTTTTAGTAACTTCATTATTAACTAACTTTTATCTCTTTGCTCCGAGATTTTATAGCTTTGATAGATTTATCATTTTAGGATTTAGTTAGATTCCTTAAATGGCTAATCTATCTTATAATGTGCAACTCTTGGATCAGAGATTTACTAAAAAGGCATCTAGATTAAGCGGTCTACTGAGCGGTAACAAACCTTTTTGGTAGCGATCGTTCCTTCTACAACTGGCCGGCAATAAAAAAATATATTTAGTATCTTGCATTGGCTAAGTAATAAGGTTTTAATTGGCACATAAACTAATTATGACGTGTTTTCACAATAATTTAATTTACTTAATAAGGTCAGAATATCAATTTAAATGTTTTTGAAATTAATATTTCTAAGAAATAGATAATTTGGCATCTGAACATAACAAAGGAGTTTTGCTTTGCTATGACGAATGTAGAAGCGGTCGTTCTATCATTGTATATATATTTAATGTACATTATTTACTCAGACTATCTCACCTCAATATTAATTTGAGTTAATTGAATCGAGTTATACTATTTGCATAAAGATAAAATCTTAAGTAAACCAGATATATAATAATAAAATATATTTTTGCAGCAATTAACAGTGTTGAGACTTTTAATGGAGGCTTAAATTTTTTTATAGTCGGTGAATAAACTTTTCAAGAGATAAATATTAAAGTTGAAAACCGAAATACTACATCAAATTAACTTTAATAACAGTAATAATAGTCTCTGTCATTATAACCCCTGACCTTTTTTGTAGTTTAGAAGAAACTAACAGCAAATTATTTTCCGCGTTTTGTTCTTACGCAGCAAAAAACAGGTGTATTAAATTATTTTCACAATCATTAGGTAAGAACGTGTAGTTGAGCGGGAATGGTTGCATCATGGATGCTCTGGTGCAATCGTGTAATGCGAAATTACAGCGATTATAGTATATAGGATTTGTTAGAGAGTTTTGCAAATTTCAAGTTGGATCTAGCGTTTGGTAAAATGACTATACAAAACTCGTGTACTCTATAAATATCAGTTTAATAATTTATAACGGTGTAATAAATTTCTTATTTTATTATTATAATAGTTTGACAGCACGGGTTTTTTAATCACATAAATATCTAATTCCATAAATGTCTTAAATTTGTGTATAATACAAATAATAAGAATCTAGCAGAGGAACATTCTAACGTTATTATAAATCAAGATAAATCAGTTTTGGTCAACATTTTGCCGCGTACGTAGAAGTTTGAAGAAAAATGAAATAATTTCTTTGCTCAAGCCGTGATCACGTGTGGATGAGATGTAAGTATCTTTCATCTACAGTAGACTTCAATCTCATCTGCCCGTGATAACGGTTACTAATAAATCGAAACGTAATCGTGTAAATTGTTAAATAATAAAATCGCAATGTTAAATCCGAAAACCATAGTTTTAATTAAACGTGAACTCGCGAAAATCTTTCATATCAATAGTGAACTCTTTTTTGCTGTTTTATAATCTTTTTTGATTTTTTTCTGTTGCTGTACATTATTTTAGTTACATATTTCAGGTGTTTCGTCACAGATTTATTTCAATTTAAAATTTATATCACATTTCACAGTCTTAGGTACTAATTTAACATATTACTAATTAAATTTCCGTATACTTTAATATGTTTATGGTTGCCAGCGAATATAATAGTTTTAGAATATAAAAAAAAACATTATATAAGAAAATAATTTCAACCTTAATGATTTATCTTTTACTTTGAGAAGTCACAACAACCACGATTTTAATAAATGATGTACTTTTAAAAGTCACTTAAAACTATACTCAAGAAGCGAATTAACAGCGTCAAACAAAATTCAATACAAATTATTTAGTTTAAGCGTTATATATATTATTTTACCTTTTCTCAGATGATGTCATTAATCAATAATAATTAATCAGAATGTTATTTACCCTCCTCAAGTTCAGTTAATACAATGTCATCGTTATCGGAGAAATTCTATATCCGGTGTCTAATCTCATTTTGTTTTATTCATTTCGTAATCTATACAATAATTACTGCACATGACAATGAAGCAAGAAATGAACTCTGATAAAATTGTTTAATCATTATAAAAATTACGCCGAAAATAAATAGGTATATTCAATTAAAGTTATTTTTATTGCTAGAAAATTATTATTTAATAAAAAAAATTCGTTCACAGACTTTCAATAGTAGCCATTCAATATATTTTATTTCAATTTTAACACACTTACAATTATTTAGTACGTATTTTAATTTGTAATGCATGGATAGAGTGTGATGTACTTACTTTTTTTAATGAATCCAGTTGTAGCTTCCATTGTCACACCTTTGAATTCAATATCAACGTTTACAGGTGGCGGCATGTTTATTTGCAGAGTTCTGCATTCATTCTGTTCCTTTCCACGTACTTTCGGACTAAATCCTTGTAAAAGAGTCAAGCTCGTTGTCATTATTAACTTTTAAAACGGATCGATAATAAAAAAATATATATCAAAAATATCTTATATCTTTAAAATAATCACTTGGTTGTAAAATTAACGATATTTTATCTCATAATTATCCTATATAAAGTATCATTTTAATCAAAATAATATTATTTTTTTCGTATTACGATGCAATACACCAGTTCAACGCGACCGACGTTAGATAACTGAACGCGGTTCATAGTGGATCGAATTAAATCATATCTTTCATTAGTTGTATACACGAAATATAAAACTTAAAACGTTGCGATGGTTAAGCGTATATTATATTTTTTGTTACTTAAAATTTTGATTTAATTTCAATATATAAGTATAACGTTTTGTTGAATATTTTGTAAATAACAAAAAGAAAAATAATATAAATTATTAATGAAGTTTTTAGTACTTGTATGATATAATATCTTGTTATTAAACGTTATAAACATGATTTTTTTCCTTTCATTGCTCGGTATATTGCACCAACCAAACATAACAAGGTTAAAAACCCGCCTAAAGACTTTTTAGCTGTTCCGTGATACCGGTATTTCTTCAATTTGCAATTAAACTGCATTTCAAAATACACACAAAAAATATTTAATTGATTAATTATTACAAAATATACATAAAATGTCAGACATGCGTTCCATCATGTATCCATGGGGTAAGTGAGTAACCCCTGCATAACATAGAAACATTAAAGAATCATTATTTTCATTGTAAAATTCATTGCCATACAACTTTTAATGAATGGGAAATAAAGTTTTAAGGACTGTCACTTTTCATATACAAAGAAATGAATGTTTAAGACAAAGAAATGTCAATGTACCTTTGGGTTCAAAAATGTTTGTCATCGCGAGGTTTGTTGCCAATGGCTTATATACATATTTTTTAAAGCACATATATTTTATATTTAATTTTTTTGTATCGGGAAGAGTTATTTCTGATCGGAATTCCGTGTTATTACCATATTTATTTTTTCTGTCATAAAAAATAAATAATTTATTTCCTGTATTGACCTTGGAATGTTCGAATTAATATTACTCTGTAAATTACCATTTAGTCCCATAGTCATGTGACTTTTTTGTTTTAAAATGTGTGTAAAATAAAAATTAAAAACGGTAGGCCTAGACAATATTTTACTTGTGCGGGATGACTAAAAAGTTTTAGTAAAGAACTTGTATCATGTTACCCAGAATGGATTTTGAATAATATATATATGGGTGTGTGTGTGTGTGTGTGAGGATACTTGTCAGTCTTTCACGCAAAAACTAATTAATGGATTTTAATGAACAATCCTTTCGTAACTATATACCTATATCTCAGATATTAGGGCTTGAAAAGAATGTATGTTGTTAATTGTATGGTAATTATTTGTATCTTTACAGAATACAGTGTATATACAGCGTAAATACAACGAATGTTCGTTTTTTTTTGTCAATGTTTCAAACGGTTAAATTACGTGGAAGAACGGTTATAAATTTCCACTTAGTATGGTATCGTGATTTATCTTAATTAATAACTTTACATAAAAATAAATGTATTCTTTTCCTTTTTTTTTACTCGAGAACGAGCCGTTCCGGTTTTTTTACACGTCTACAACCGGTATTTGATGACGACAATTCAGTATCTTTTTCGATGGAAAAGGAAAAAAATATATGTAATTTTGAAATGAGATAACTTTAAGTGGTATGTTAAAGAAAAGTTAGAAAATAAAAATCAGTATAATATATGGAATATAAAAAAATATATAAAAAATTATATATAATACAAAGTTAACAAACTAAACAGAAATTTAACGGAATATATGAATAAAATAAAGAATTAATGTTGTCACTCTGTCCATCTGTTACTAATAAACACTACAGTTGCCTTGTACATCTCATATTTCCACTACAATTACCTGTACCTTAGAAATGTCCCCTACAGTTACCTGTACCATTCACGTGTCCATTGTCAATCTAGATATGGAATAGTCTGGTGTAAAGAAACAAATATTTTGATACTGCTCTTAAATATGTCGGAAAGTTTTATTTATCGTTTTATAGTCTAAGTAAAATATTTATTGTTAGCAAACAATTAACTTGATTCTACTGTACATTAAAAGAAGAATAGTTTGTATAGGATAAACAACACAACGAAAATTTTTGTTATAATACTTACTTTTATTTCAAATAGATATTTGTTTTGATAGAATAATGTAACATATAAATGTAGCTTATCAGATAAATAGGTTTATGTAATTTAATTGGTACCTTTTGTCTACAAATTTAGAGGCTTTTTAGAACATAAAATATTAAAATTATATATAAGACATTGCTAAATGGTGAATAAACAGCGTATTAATGTACAAATATTATTGTTTAAATAATCTAATTATTTTAACGTGATAAAGGTTATTCCAGAACATACCCTGTTTTAATTTTACTTGTGCGTATTTTTTCTAGTCGAGTCTTATCTTTATTGAGATATAAACTTATGAATCAGTAGGTACTACGAGCAGATTAAAAATTAAATGAAGTATCAAAAAACACTTAATCCTTTTAAAATTTTTATGAACGTGTAGATAAATTAAAAAATATATATTTTTACAGTCAGTGGTGGCCTAGTGGTTAAAGGGCCCGCTTCTCGTTACCGAGGGCGCGGGTTCAAACCTGGCAAGTACCAATGTGATTTTTCGGAGTCATATGTACTTTCTGAGAGTATTAAGACACCACTGACAAACGGTGAAGGAAAAAATCGTGAGGAAACCTGGATTTATAGTTTCACAAAAATAAGTTTGAAATCACTGCTGCACTGTGATTAATGCTCAAACCTTGTCCATGTGAGAAAGAGGACTTTGCTCGGCTGTGGGCTTTGATAGGCTGATGATGAATAAAGGTACACCGGTAAGCTTAATCAGTATGGTCTTAATAACAAACGTGAATTAAAATTGTACAATTTGATAAAATAAATTTGTCTGATGTATATAGTTAAGTCATGTTGTTGTAACAAACATACAGTACAATAATAAAACATATACCACGTTATATTTTATATGTATATACATTTTATATATCACATCATCAGAACAAATAGTTGTTTAATGGATACACATAACTACATAATTACTAGTTAAATTGACATAACTTGCTAAGTTTATGAGAGTATCTAGTTTTTAATTGAATATCATGACTATAGGATATGTTTTATTTCAATACAAATTTCTCCTTCAGCTTTATGTAGAAATTGTTGAAAACTATTCAGAGACAGCGACTAGATTTTTATTTAAGCGATACTAAAACAGCATTCTTGTAGAAAAATGTATAATGAGTACATATATAAGTAGCTGACATTTCTATTTCAACAGATTATTTTACTACGTGCCTCTAGGTCTGGATGAACATAGAACAGTATAAAGTTTATTATGATCTTAGAATTGTTGGTAAAATATTTTTTAATTATACTTGTTGTTGTTTTATAAATGCAGGAAAATGTTGTTATTCTTGGTAAGTGAATTACAAAGAGGGTGACAAATATATATTCCGCCTTATATTAAAGTTCTAATGTTGTTTATAAACATATGCAGTTGGGTTATTATACCAATAGGAATACATAATGATACTAAATATGTAAGATTTTCGCGTTTACACATAATTGACACTAAGTTTTTTGGACACTAAGTGTTTTTTTATATATTTTATATTGAGGTTTCGGCTCCAGTCATTTTCATCTCGTCTGTCAGTGATTTCAGTTGCTGTAAGGAAATCGAAATCATCAATACTTAGTTTTGTTTAAACTAATAGGATTTTACTCGTAATAGAAGGAAGCCAAGAGTGAATATGTTACACAGGGTGTTCAATAGTCATACGTATGGTCAAATATAATAATAATTTTTACATAACATTAAATTATTCCTCTATCAAAGGATGGTTCTAGCCAATTAAATTAAATTTTAGTTCTATCAATCGCATACCTGTACGCCGTTCTCTGCATTTTTTCTTTATATGTATATCTTTAAAATGTTTGTTTACTGTTTTCTTTACTATACTGTAATAACATTGAAATGCCCTCATAAATATTTTAATTAAACCTGATTTAAACTCGCAAAATGTTTTTTGTTCATTTAAAAATTTAAAAGATAAATAAATACAAACAACTAAATTAAACGTTTAATAAAAACTAACAATTAACAACTTAAAAAATAAATCAGTAACTGCTTTGAAAGCATTTTAGTTGTTTATTAATGAATCTATGTTGACACTAGAATGTGACAATGAAACCTGGGAACACTATACATATATATTGTCACTATGGGAACTCGCGGTAAACGTACTTCGGAGCGGAGCAAAAAAATGAAGAATTATTAATAATCATTAGACGATATTTCTTAACTACGTATATTTAAGCGTAAATACGTCATTCACTAATAATAATTTATTCAAAATTTTACTGTTGATATTTAAAAACCTGTTATTTATTTCCTTGATGTATTCTGAACATATAAAGGCAACATAATATGCATACAAAAGTTTGTTTATTTGTGAATAATGCCTAAAGGTTTTAACTAAAAAGACAACGCCATATTATTAAATAAAAATTTATTTGTATTAAAGAAATGTTTTTTTTTATACTGCAAAAGTAGGTGTTGCATACATTCTATGCCATAATCATGAGATAATATTTTTTCTAATCGACTCATATAAATACGTAACAACTTGCGTAGATAATATTATGTTCTGTACGCTTAGTCTAAGTCGACATCGTCAGGCTACATAAACGACGTTAGCAGTTATTCAATAATACTCGTAATTATTAACAGATTATAGAATTAACATGAGCCATTAAATAAGAAACGGGAAACGTTTCGTGAGTAGGGTAGCGATGAAAACTTGTTATTAGTGTTATAGGTGGTAGAGCCTAGCTGTGGTCAGTTACTACAGCTCGAACATGGGCTAGCTGGAACGAGGATAGCTATCACTCTCTAACAGAAGATCCGCGTGAAGTAGGCT